ACAGAAGTCCAACAACTGAACACCGCTCGGGTTCAGATCAGGGGGGCCGTTCATTCCCGATCACCCCTCTCCAAGTGTCACTGGCGTTTCCCACATGGGCGTTGAAGTCCCCCAGGAGAATAACGGAGTCCCCGGGCGGTGCACCGTCCAGTACCCCTCCCAAGGACTCCAAGAAGGCCGGGTACTCTGCACTGCTGTTAGGCCCGTAGGCCGTCACAACAATGAGAGACTTGTCCCCCACCCGGAGGCGGAGGGACGCGACCCTCTCATTCACCGGGGAGAACTCCAACACGTGGCGGCTGAGATGGGGGGGGCAATGAGAATGGCCACCCCAGCTCGCCGCCTCTCCCCGCGGGAAACTCCAGAAAAGTGGAGCGTCCAACCCCTCTCAAGGAGTTGGGTTCCAGAGCCCAAGCTGTGTGTGGAGGTGAGGCCGACTATCTCTAGTCGGTATCGCTCAACCTCCCCCACAAGCTCGGGCTCCTTCCCCCCCAGTGAGGTGACGTTCCACGTCCCAAGAGCCAGCTGTTGTGTGTGCGGACTGGGTCGTCGAGGTCTCCGCCTTCGACCGCTGCCCAGTCCTCTCTGCACCGCTTCGCCACCACGGACCCCTCTGCGGGTGGTGGGCCCACAGGAGGGACTGCCCACGTCGTCCATTCAGGCTGAGCCCGGCCGGGCCCCGTGGGCTAAGGCCCGGCCACCAGGCGCTCGCATACGAGCCCCGACCCCAGGCCTGGCTCCAGGGTGGGGCCCCGGCTGCGCCATGCCGGGCGACGTCACTGGTTTTATGTTTGTGCTGTCCATGGTGTCTTCTGGACTGCTCTTTGTCTGACTCGTCACCTGAGACCTGTCTGCCATGGGAGACCCTACCAGGGGCATGAAGCCCCAGACAGCATAGCTCCCAGGATCATCCGAGTACTCAAACTCCCCCACCACGTTAAGGTGGCAGTCCAGGGGGGAGAAATAAATAAATAAATACATTTTAAAAAGATAAAATTTGCAAAGAAATGCATGCAATTATGAGAATAAGTGCATTTATTTCTCTATTTATTTATTTATTTCTCTATTTATTTATTTATTTTTGCATTTATTTCACTATTTCTTTATTTATTTATTTATTTTTGCATTTATTTATTTATTTCTATATTTATTTATTTATTTCTGTATTTATTTATTCATTTCTGTATTTATTTCTGTATTTATTTCTGTATTTCTCTTAATAATATGCAAATCATGGGGTGGGCCGGGATGCCTCTGCTGTAAGCTCATTGATTAATCTTTTTCCTTGCTCCATAGCTTGTCCAGCATAGGCGGTCATGTTGAGATCACTGTGTTCTCACTATAGCCATGTCAGAACGAAAAAATAAAAAAGATAGGCTACGTATCACTCATTTGCGCAGTGTTACTTTTGCGCTTTCTGCCCGATTAAAGACCAGCCCAAACTCCACAACAAGTAACTATTTCCTCCCATGACACCGAGAGAGGGGACCGGTGGCATTTCATCCCTCTCTCTCTTTCTCAGGCACGGTTCCCTCTAACTGCTGCGCACGAGCGCAGTTAGAGGGGGGGTACAGGCGCTCGTTCTACAGGCCCAGAGTCCGGTTGTTTTCCACACTCAGAAACGTGTTTTCGTTGCAGCGGCACAGTATTCTGCACAGACGCAAGGCCCAGCTCATTCAGCTGCTTTTGAAAAGGACCTCACTCATAGGTTCAAGTCTAAGTGGAAGGATGTGTTGATGAGGAGGCTCAGCTCCGAGAAATGCCTGTAGGCCTACTGACGTTTCTGCCACAAGGACTGATGTTACAGGCTGTAGTTGGTGTGGTCATTTTTGCTGTTGATTATGTTTAATGTAATGATCAGTGTGCGCCAGGGCTACGTGAATACCGAAATCTATGTACTTTATAGTAATACTAAATCTGCCCCTGCATGGATTTCATATGCCGGGACGGGACTTTATGTAGCTGATCCAAACGGAAAATAATATAGTCAACACTACAGTCTCTCGTATGCCTGTCCGCCAGTCTATCACGCGTCTCCGACTTGTTTGGCTAGCTACAAGTTGTTACTGTGGCAACATAGCACAGCAGTCCCCAACTAGATTAGCTTGAGGTCCAACATGCAACCGTTTACCACTCCAAAATGGAGGCTGTTCAGCGACACAGAGCAAAGGATAATTTACTTATCTGTATTTTTAAAAAAACACACACACACACAATGCAATTGTTGCATATGGAAGAATGCTTGAGATTTTTATTTTTTCGTTCTGACATGGCTATAGCGAGAACACAGTGATCTCAACATGACCGCCTATGCTGGGCAAGCTATGGAGCAAGGAAAAAGATTTACCAATGAGCTTACAGCAGAGGCATCCCGGCCCACCCCATGATTTGCATATCATTAAGAGAAATACGGAAATAAATACAGAAATAAATACAGAAATAAATAAATAAATAGAGAAATAAATAAATAAAGAGAAATAAATAAATACATACAAAAATAAATACAGAAATAGAGAAATAAATGTATAAATGCAGAAATAAATGCATGAATAAATACATAAATAAATAAATACAGAAATAAATAAATATATAAATAAATATATAAATAAATAAATACAGAAATAAATGCACTTATTCTCATAACTGCATGCCTTTCTTTGCAAATTTTATCTTTTTTAAATGTATTTATTCATTTATTTGTTTCTGTATATATTTATTGTTTTGGCAGCCACGGTCCTCCATATGAGAGAGCGAGAGAAGGCCAAGACCTTCCCTGTTTAAAAACTCCCTCCTTCCTCCAATTGGCTGCCTTTCCACCTATCACACCCCCAGAAGCAGAGGGGAGAGAGCAACAGCACACAGGCAAAGAGGAAAATGATGCACGTAATACCCCCACCCACATGAATTAAAATATAGTTTGAATATGGACAGCGGACATCAAGGGACTCTTGAAAGTGCATCAGCAACTGTGTTCTCTTATCCCTTTTTGTGCTTTATTTCCAGGTTATAGTTCTGCAGGATCAATGACCATCGCATAAGGCGTTGATTGTGGTTGAACATTCGTGAAAGGGGTTATGATCCGTAAACACCAGGGTGGACTGAGAACCAAGATAAACTTCAAAGTGTTGTACGGCTAACAATGGTGCAAGAGTTTCCTTCTCGATCTTGGAGAACTTTAACTGATGCTTATTGTCTACTTACGTGAAAATTATTTTTGCGTTTTAGTTAATTCATTTATGTTTTTAGACACATTTTATTTTGTTTTTTATTTATTTACTTCATCTATTTTGTCATTTACTATTGCTATTATGAATATTAGGTAGATGCCATTTTCTTAGTGTCACATTTTAATGTTTTACTTTGTATTGTATTGTTTTAGTATGCCCAGTGTTTCCTCTGGAGTATCCCTCTGCACTGGGAACTGGGGTCTGCTGTGGCTGCGGGGGTCTGGCTCTTGAATCTAGTGGGGGTCTGGGGACTCCTCTCTCCTCTGGGTCCTATGGGGGTCTGACTCCTGGTCCTGATGGGGGTCTGGGGCCTCCTCTCTCCTCTGGGTCCTACATGTATGTTGTCCCCTGTGGCTGCAGCCGGCTCTCTACTCCTGGTGCAGATGGCTCCTTGGATGGCGCTACTTCAGCCGGTTACATCTGCACTCAGTCCTTTTCATAGTTTTACCTATTTTACCTCATGCAACTTTATATATGTGTGTGTGTGTGTGTGTGTATATGTTTAATAATAAATGTGGTTTTGGGTGGGTCTGTTGGGTTTAGGGCAGGGCATTTTGGATTGTTTTAAAATAAACTGTAAAGGACTTTGTGTTGCATTTTTTTGTATGAAAAGCGCTTTATGAATAAAATTTGATTGATTTATTGATTGTAAGTAACTCACAGGATGATTGATGCTGATCACCTTCTTGGAGGAGAACTGCTCCTGCCCCCACCATGCTGGCCCCCACCATGCTGGAATCCACCTCCAGTTTGAATTGTCGCTGAAAGTCTGGAGCTGACAAAACAGGAGTGCAACACATTATGGCCTTTAAACTTTCAAAGGACTTCTGACACTCATCAGATCAAACGAAGGGCTTGGCAGGACTGGTGAGGGCAGTCAGGGGGGCAGCAACTGAAGAGAAGTTCTTACAGAACCCGCAATAGTATCCAGCCATTCCAAGGAATCGACACAACTCCCTTCAGGCCGTTGGAAGGGGGAAGGCAATGATGGCAGCAATTTTGGCCTCCACAGGGCACATCTTTCCACTGCCAACCTGCTGACCCAGATACTGCACCGTCCCCTGCCCAAATTCACATTTGGCAAGGTTTAGGGTTAAACCCGCATTAGACAGCCTCTCAAAAACCACCCTCAATGAATCAACTAATCAGGGGTGTAAATCACTATGTCGTCCAAATAGACTCTACAATAGGGTACGCCTCCCAACCTCTGAAAAGTTGCCGGGGCATTGCTGAGTCCAAACGGCATGACAGTGTATTGGAGGAAGTAGTCTGGAGGCACAAAAGCTGAGATTTCAGAGGCATGGGGGGGGTTAACGGAACTTGCCAATATCCGTTCAAGATGTCGAGTTTACTCACATAGGTTGCAGGACCGATTTCATCGATGCAGTCGTCAATTCATGGCAGTGGGAAAGCATCGGGCACCGTCACTGCATTGACTTTTCAGAAGTCTGTACAGAATATGGGGCTCCCGTCAGATTTTTTGTCAAGGAAACACAGGGAACTCCAGGCACTTGGACTGTGTACAGCAAGTCCATTGTCAAGCAGATACTCTGCTTCTTTCTTCAGTACCTCCCGCTTAGCAGGACTGACCCTATAAGCGTGCTGCTTAATTGGGCATGGGTTAGTCAGGACTATGTCGTTTGAGATAACAGTAGTAAAATCGTTCTTCCATCAGTGACAGCAATGAAGGTGAAACATGGCTGGCTGATGATGAAGGGACCATGAATTTGCATTGCATTGTAATTGTGTCATTGGCAAGTAAGAGTTTTGATATTACTGGCAGAAAAGGCTGTCAAGTGCAGTGTTGTCCGCACATGAAGAGAAATTAAACAGTATGGTGACAGTAAAGACAAGAAGATGGCATCCCTCCATGACTGGTGCCGCTCCAGGACACAATAAAAACGTCCTCTCACCGCTGACCACTCCAGTGGTGTAACGTGATCGCAACATCGGGGGCAGGCTCACATGTCGTCTGTCCGTCTGGTGCATGAGAGCCTTCTTTCTCCTGCGCCTGCCTGCCTGTGCCGGGACTGTCTGTCTGAAGGAGGGCTCTGGGCACGCAACCACCACAAAGGCCTTGTTCATGAGGAGCTCTGCCCTGAGAGGGACATTGTGCCCTAAAGTAGTAAACAAACTCAAATGCAGAAAATTCAATCTGGACTTTGTAATTAATAATGTAATAGTGTGCTTTTCAGCACACTTTGAATGCACATGAGTGTGCATGAGTATTAAAAGTGTAGATTTTTTTAAATTGGGGAATGTGTGAGTGAGCATGAAAATGAAGTGAGAGTTTACTAGAATGGGCGACACTTACTTACATGGCAAGGTCTGATTAAAAGCATGCAATTGTATAAATCCGGCATTAGACCCAGAGGTGGAAAATGTATGCATCTTCTGTACTTAAGCAAAAGAGAAGAAATAAAGTAAATATTTGTATACGTACTGGGGTACCTGCAAGGGCAAACATGGGAACTGGGTCTCTCTCAAATTTGTCGGAAAATCTGTATGAAAATGTGTCTGAAAATCTTAGATCAGCTTTTTCAGAAAAAAAAAGATTTAAAAAAAAGAAGAAAGGACCACCCTCAGTCAATCAGTTTGCTGCCCAAAGCATGGATTAGTGACGCACCGGGCTAAGGATAACATGATATCTAATAAGATGAAAACAACAGGTACAACTACAACTACAACTACTAACATGCTAAATCATTTTGAAATTGTGTATTTAGACAGAAGGGGCAGGGGGTGTGTTTGTGCCAGAAAGTACTGATTTTCATGTGGCAGAATATTAAAACATCAAGTCGGTTCAGGCTGCATGTATGGACTTTTATGGAACGTCCTCAAGTGTTTTTATTTAAATCAGTAAGAGGAAATTCTCCTTTGTACAGGTCAACCAAACATTTACAGTAATATTCGTAATTTCACGGCAATCTCTCGGCTCCATCGTTCCAATGGTCTACATTCCGCAGTAATCACAACATGACCCGGCTGCAAACCCACGCTCTTTCATCCTCGTGTTTCCCACAAGTCTTTAGCATCCGCACACCCCATCTGCAGAGCTGCAGCGTGTCGGTGGGCCATTCCCTACATCAACATAATCTATCAACGTGTGAGAAACTACTGTCCTACGGGGAAGCCGTCTCGATACTGCCGCAGTACCATAATGTTTTGCGGCCTGGAGGGGCAGGGTGTCAAATTCCTTCAATCTAAAAATACATATTAGCTTCCATGAAAAATTCAACAAAACCAAGGCTTTGATTACCCCTCAGCCTCGATTCACAGGTCTGCCAGCCGACTGAGGCTGTAGATCCAGAACTGAAGAGTCTCTCGGGTGGGTACAGGGGTGCAGGCCGGGAGAGACCAGTTCACAGGTGTTGCTTACAGTTTTTTCCTGTTGCTTCAACACTATAGACACACGCTTAGACCAAAGTTACAGAACCTGAAGCTTTTCTACTGAACCTAAAACACAGACTAACCATTCCTTAAACAAAAGTGCTGCTTTGCACTTTGTTTTCGTTTCTACAACACACTTTCTTCTTTTGCAACACACTTTCTCTTTCTGCAACACACTTTCTCTTGCTCACTACACACTGTGTCATACATAAGACACTTTGTTCATAAATGCAGTCCTGAGTTTATCATTGGGAAAACACATCTATTCAAAATACTAAACACATTGTGTGACAGAAAACACTGAGACACACACTTGAAAACACTGACTTACAAAACACGACACACATCAGTCAGACATAAACAGGCCTCAATTTATCCATTTTCAGAACGTTTTAAGTATGAAGGCAGGAAGAGCAAGAGAAAGGAGAGAAGAGGAGGACGTGGTTGAAGGTATTTCTGACATTAGAGCAACTTTGGAGGATCATGTGATAAACCATGGCCTCACACTGAAGGAAGAGAGAGTCACAGCTTCATCATCAGGACCTTCAGATGGAAACATGTCTCTAACTCTGTACTGCAGACTGTATCTACAGTATGTACAGTACTGTACTGTATCACTTGTACTGTATTGCAAGTTGGTTATTGCTCCTTTTGAAACATACAATACAGTAAAGTACATAGTACTGAACCATTGAGATGTTACAGTTCTGTGTACAGTATAAACTACTGTAAAAAAGAACTAAACCTATTCTAACAATTTTTGGTTTCCTATTTCTACAGAATGACTAGAACCTTCTCAAGGTGCTCCACAGCTGTTCACCAACAGCAGGAACATTGTGAAAACAGTCCGAGCAGGAACATGATCCATAATCCCACTCACGTATAATTGCCTAGTTTTACATTAGAGATTTTTATTTATGTATGTGTTACTGCATTGACACAAATGCAGTACAGTATACTGTAGTACTGTACTGTACAGTATACTGTAGCACTGTGATGTACAGTATTGAGTTGATATTATTTGTAAACTTTTAGTACTACTGAGAACAAAAACAGTTCCATTGAGCTTCACAGAAAACTAACTGATAAACAGAATAAAAACAGTGAAAATGACTGCAGTGTTTTATAAAAAGTACTGTAGTGTGTTGCTTCCAATCTGAAAGTGTGTTCATGTGATGCAAGTGTGTGTCATTTTGTCCTCAGAGTTTCATTTTGACAAATGATTGTTTAGTTTCGAGAGCTTGAGAGTTTGAATTTTGACAGTAGAGTTTGAGTTTTGATATTGGAGTTTCAGTTTGACCCAGATGTGTTCGGTTTATGTCCCAGTGTTGTGTCAGGATATCGTGTGTGTAGAGTTTTGGGACTATTAGCAAAATTTAGCAAAATGTGTTCGAGCAACAGGTAAAAACTGTAATATCAACCCAATACTGTACATCACAGTACTACAGTATACTGTACATCACAGTACTACGGTATACTGTACATCACAGTACTACGGTATACTTTACTGCATTTGTGTCAATGCAGAAAAACAAAAAAACTCTAATGTAAAACAAGGCAATTGTGCGTGTGTGGATTATGGATCATGGTTCATGCTCTGACTATTTCCACAAAGGCAAGTTCCTGCTGTTGGTGAACACACTCAAAGAAATGATTCAGGTGGTTAGTATTTTGAACTCAAAATACATACTGAACTAAACTCAATAATTGATTTTTGCCAGTTTTACTTAAATTAGTGTGGTTGCAACTCATTTTAAACATGCCGGTCTCAATTAAAAATGAATACAAGAATCCTAACTCATTTTTGTAACAAATTTGAACTTCATATTCTGGCATATACTGGACAACGGAGAAGTATTGAGTTTGCTCAACATGAAAATCCTCTTGTAAGCCTGGGGGTCCATCAATGACAAAACAAATATATTGAGTTGATTCAAAACAAAATGTGGCGAAGCAGTGACGCTACCCAGAATGCATTGCAGCGAAAAATATAAACTTCTTAAAAATTCTACATTTGAGCATTAATTTTAAAACTGAATATGAAGCAAGTCCTAAAGCAAAATACTTGAGCAACATTCTGAATAAACTAATTTGACCAAATAAGTAATTGTATTTATTTTTGTCAAACATGATCGAGAGGGCCAAGCCAAAGCAGTGGTATACTCCCTGTGTCGTCCTCATAGACTGTATTGTTGTGCTTCAATATTGTACAAATACTTTAAAATGGTCATGTTTACCAGTGACGGTTTCTGGCCCACTCCCATATATGTGTGGAGTGAGAGACTACTGCCGCTTTGTGAATCTGGTCTGTGATATATGGTATTTGAATAAAGATTATGTACTCCTGACTTAAAATCACTTGTTGAATATACTCAAAAAGATTTATTTTCAATGTAATTATTTAAGTTGGTGGTATTGTTAAAATTGAGTTCAACTGATGCTAAAACACTTGCTGAATATACTTAACAAAGTGTCTTTATAACTCAATTATCCAAGTTGGTGGAATTGGAAAAATTGTGCTGGACCAATGATAAAAGACTTACAAAGAATACTTAAAACACTGTCTTGTTCGCAAAACTTAAAAAGATGCATGCAAAATGTTGCCTCAATTTTATTAAGTTTTGCCAATGCATTTTTGCAGAGTGCAGTTGCCGACCACCCACACCTCCAGAAGGTCCTCTAGTCATTTTGTATAAATATGAAACCACAAATTGTTACTATAGGTTTAGTTTTTTACATTATTGTAAAATGTGTACAGTACTGTGACATCTCAGTTTTATATACTTTATTGTCTTGTATGTTTCACCAAACTACATTATTTTCAAACTTGCAAAACAGTACATGTGATACAGTACAGTAGTGTAAATACTGTAGATACAGTCTGCAGTAGAGAGTTACAGTACATATGATACAGTACAGTACTGTAAATACTGTAGGTACAGTCTGCAGTAGAGAGTTACAGTAAATGTTGAACACATGTTTCCATCTGAAGGTCCTGATGCTGCAGCTGTGTCTGGACTCTCTCTTCTCTCAGTGGAGGCCAGGATTGATCACAAAAGTTGCGCTAATGTCAGAAATATCTTCAACCACAACTTTCTCCTTGTCTTCCTCTTCCTCTCTCTTGCTCTTCCTGCCTTCAGACTTGCTAAGTTCTGAAAATGGCTAAACTGAGGTCTGTTTGTGTCTGGCTGATGTGTGTCGCGTTTTGTATATCAGTTTTTCAAGTGTGTGTCTCAGTGTTTTCTGTCACACAATGTGTTTGGTATTTTGAATAGATGTGTTTTCCCAATGATAACACAGGATTGCATTTAAGAACAAAGTGTCTTATGTATGACACAGTGTGTAGTTAGCAAGAGAAAGTGTGTTGCAGAAAGAGAAAGTGTGTTGCAAAAGATGAAAGTGTGTTGTAGAAATGAAAGCAAAGTCCAAAGCAGTACTTTTTTTTAAGGAATGGTTAGACTGTGTTTTAAGTTCAGTACAAAAGTTTCAGGTTCTGTAACTTTGGTCTAAGCGTGTGTCTATAGTGTTGAAGCAACAGGAAAAAACTAATACCACTGATTGCAGACCACTTTAACTTGAGAAGGTCTTCAAGTCATTCTGTATAAATATGCAAGACTCTCTGCCATGATTGACTGCCTGATCCACGAAAGTTGCTCTAATGTCATCAGAAATATCTTCAACCATGTCCTCATCTC